CTAATGGAAGAAGGATAAAGAAGGGTGTGAAGGGCCAGGAGAGTGGGCTGGGGGCACCCATCTAGTGTCTGAGGTGGCCTGGCCTGCTCAGGAGGACTTAGACTTGGTCCTGAGCTGCCATGAGACAGGCTGGTGTAGTCTGGGTATATGGCCCTGCTTGGACTTGGCACAAGGTGTTGCCCTATGAAGGATAGCTAGGGTGGGAAGTGGCTGATAAGCCACCTGTTCCTTTACTGGTCCAGGCCAGGCCCCTAAGGAGGGCAATATGACAATTACTAAGGTACCAGGAGACTTCCTATCAAGGTAGAAACAGGAGCTGTAGTACTGAAAGAGTATACAGAGAGGCTATCCTAACTAGAAATGCACTCACATAGGCCATTTGGAAAATGAGGACACCCACCAACATGACACCTAAACTGGGGGATGTAAAAGAGCTGATACCAAATTCTAAGCAGTGACAATGCTGTGGCTTGGGAATATCCTGCCAGGAGGAGACCCAGTGAGCAAGTTCATGGGCTTCACGGGTTGGCACCACTTTACAGATGAGGAGGCTGAGGTCCAGACAGTGGGACAGTGTCACAGCCATGTGAAGCCACTTAGGGATGAGAAACAAAGATATGAGCTTTCAGGCCAAGTGGCCCTTCCTGATGGGCCAGGGAAGCCTAGAAGGCTGTGCAAGAAGCCCAAGTGCCCCAAGGAATAGGAAGACTAGAAGTGGGGTGGGAAACACCCCCAAAATGCATGCCTGTTCTCTCTCCCACCCAAGCTGTGTGTAAAGAGGACCCAGGATCCTGGAGGAGGTTGTGTGTGGGGCCATGGGCAACAAGGCTCTGCTCATAGCAGCCCAGAGGGAACCTACAGGCCCAGGGCACCTCCCCCAGGATGTATACCCCAGAGGAAGGAGAGAATTCCCCATTGCATACATTGGCTCTCCTCACTTCCCAGTCCTTCCTTGGCACTGCTCACCTTGCATCAACTTTTGAGATCCAACTTTTGAGCAGCCCCAGCTCCCATTTCATTTGATTAAACCACTGTTTGTTTAGCCCTTATTACATAGGCAATGCACATTCATGATAGGAAAAATAGAATACACAGAGGTGTTCCTTTTCCTGTTCATTGTAATGTACATGTATTTTTAAGTAAACAGCACCATCCTACACATCTTTTTTTAAAAAAACTTTTTTCTCTGCCTGAGAAGGACAAATATCATATGTTTGCACGTATAGGAGGATTAGGAGGAACTTGATGGAGGAACAAGGGGGAGAAGAAGGGCGGAAATGGTGGGGGAAAGGGAGAGAGGCAAACCATGAGAGACTCTTGAATGCTGACAAAAACTGAGGACTGATGGGTGGGGGGGGGGGGGGGGATGGGCATGGAGGAGGGCACTTTGGGGATGAGCACTGAGTGTTATGTAGAAACTAATTTGACAATAAACTATTTGTAAAAAAAAAAAAAAAAAAAACTTTTTTCACTTAATGATATATGGAAACCATATACATGAAGGCTTGTTAAATACCATTATATATCCATATCATTTGTAATATTGCATAGCAATTGCTCAAATAATGGATCATATTATGTTTAAATATCACGGTTGGGATTTTAGATTACTGCCTATTTTTTACCATTATACTCAACACTGGGACACCACCCCTCTTATATACTTTGTTCTGCTTATTCATTTGTCTCCTTAGGAGAGATTTCTGTGGGGGGAGCTGCTGGATCAATGATCTTACCCTCTCAAGGCTTTTAATATATATAGAGATTTGTTCTGTGAAAAGATGCATCCATTGACCTGCCCACCAACAGTGTGTGAGTGCTGCCTTGGAAACATACTCCTGAGTGGTCTGCGTCCCATTCTTCAGAGCTGTTCCTGTCTGTAGTGAGGGTTTTCCCAGCTGTCCACTGATTGGGGATGAAGGGGATGGTGGATCTGAGAAGAGACCTGGGTCCAAGGAGAGGTGGCAATGTATGGTTAGTTAGAAGCATGGCTCTTGCCAGCCTTCAGTGCAGATAATTAGTGCAGATATGTGTCGGGGGTATGAGGGGGTGTTTGGGCTTTGTTCTTGCTGAGGTTGGTGGAGGGAGCAGGTCTTGTCTGGGAAGACTTTGATCAACAGTACTAAGGCACTCATGTCAGAGGAGGGGAGAACCCAGTAGGAGCAGGAGCAGGCAAGACAGGTGGGCCCCTGACGTAAGGGCAGGGCTCAGCTCAGCAGGAGGAATTGGAGGGCATCCCAGGTGGGAGTGACCAGCATAAGCAAAGGCATGAGAATTACCGTGGCAGGCCACCTTCTAGTGATGTTGAGATACATGGTCTTCTTGGAGCACAGTGTCAACATTGAGGGGCATTTGTGAGAAAAGTAGCCAGGCCCAGGGACTGGAGACTTTGCTCCCAGCCTTAGAGACAGTGGACAGCCAGCAGAAGCTGAGTGAGAAGTGAGGGCTGATGTGGGCCAAGCTGTGGGAATGAGGCACAGATGAAAGTGGGTGCAGGAAGAGGAGTGACTGGTGAAATGGAGGGGAAAGCCAACTCTGCAGCTGGGACATCGATTCAGACCTCATGTATTTCATCTGTCTGTCTGGGGCTCATCAGTTTAAAGGCCTCTTGTTCCAAAGAGCTGCCTTCTTCAATCCCATGGGAAGACTACTTCTTGACTTTTTCAAATTTACTGTCCCATCAAAGATGACATTTGAGGGGTGCCTGGGTGGCTCAGTCGGTTGAGCATCTGACTTCAGCTCAAGTCATGATCTCACAGTTCATGGGTTCGAGCCCCACATTGGGCTCTGTGCTGACAGCTAGCTCAGAGCCTGGAGCCTGTTTCCGATGCTGTATCTCCCTGTCTCTCTGACCCTCCCCTGCTCTCTCTCTCTCTCTCTCTCTCAGAAATAAAAAAATAAAAATATAAATAAATTATTTTTAAAATAAATTAAAAAATAAAGAGGACATTTGACTTCTGAGATGCAACATCAGCCCTGTTCTTTGCCTGGTGAGGTGGAGCAATAAGCCTTAAGTCTTCTGACTAGGGTCTTAGTTGTGCATATGGGACCTAAGGCAACTCCACCCTCCCTTGTTGTGGGCTCTTACACGTGTCCCTCCGTACCCCTTTGGCCAGAGTTCCCAGTGGCCCCTCTGCTTCTGTCATTCTGCATGTGTGTGGGTCTGTCCTGATTTTGGAGGTGGCTCATTTGGTTCTGATTTGGCAGGAAACTTCTAGGCAATGTGGTCCACAGGTTTGTCAAGGGGAATCTGATGAATTCCTGAAGGAACCTAAAGACTCAGCAGTAGGAGGCCCTGAGCTGGGGCCCAGAGAAGGTGAGGGACTGGCCCAATGTCTCACAGTCAGTCAGCAGCACCAGGTGACTGAGGGGCCAAGATCCCAGGTGGCAACTGTGTCTGGTGCCCTGCCCAGTGGGGCTACGCCGTGGGCTGCTGGGATAGGACAGTTGAATGTATGTGGTCCAAGGATCACCTATGGAATGAGTTCTGCTCAGTAGAACTCTGACGTGGCAGCCTTGGTGCAGGGGCTGAACAGTGGGGCTGCCATTTGCTGTGATGAGGTGCCATTCCTGGCACGCAGCAAGCTTGGGCCTCCTGGGCTGCTCATTCCGTGCAGTTTATGGGAAAGCCAGCTCTTGCTGACGTGACAAATTTGGTTTGCTCTTGGCCCCTGCATTAACCATTTTAGTGTGCCTTTGACCTGTAAGGAAACATGTCCAGACCTTGCCAGGTGGCAGCAGGGCCTGGCCGCTCAGGCAGACTCCTAAGGGGGAGGCTACTCTGCCTTAGGGCTGTGCCAGCAGGGCCAAGGCCCCTCCTTCCCATCATGCCCACTTGCCTGAATCTCTAGTCCTTCTATTGAGGCCCACAGTGCTAGTTGTGGCAAGCCAGGGCTGGGATTATATCCACAATATGGGCCTTCCATCTCCCTGCAGCACCGGGCTGTCCCCAGCCTGGACAGTTGGTTTGGTCACCCCAGTCTCTTCTGAGACAAAGATCTTCACAGTGATGTGAAGGCCTTGGAGACCACTGTGGTCCACTTTTCACTGGCCACAGGAGGGAAACACATGGCTCAAGGGCAGAGAAGAGACAAGGAAGGAGAGCAGGGCAAGAATAGAGGGAGGAAGAGAAAGCAAAGTGCAACAGCAATTCCTTACCAAATCCCAACCCTCACCTGGTCACTGAGCACTACTAGAAGTTGTCAGGGGGGCCTTGGGCTTTCCCCACTGGAGATGGAGCAAACCCCTGACTGACACAGGGCTGCACACTCTCAAGCTTTGGGGGTTCTTACTGAGGACCACTGACAGTCCCCTCTCCCAGTGAAGACAGGTTGAGACTCATTGCTGCTTGGCTCCTGTCCAACTGCCCTGCGATCTTTGCTGTGCCAGGTGGTGGCAGGCATTTGCAAGAACATTGGTGCATTCTGCCTTCATAGCAGTCCTGAGGGTAGACTTTTTAAAATCCCATGTTGCAAATGAGGACAGTGAGGTGGACTGGACACATTAGCTGACTGGCCCAAGGTCTGTCAGACAGCCACTAAAGAGCGAGAGAGATAGTCCAACTCCAAAGCAGCTGGTCTCCCAGCCCCCACCCTTCCTTTAGTCACTCTTTCTGAGTCTACTAGTGCCAGCCCCGAGGAATCCTGCCCTGTGGGGGCTCCACCATTGCCATTCTCTCCCCTACACTCACCTGGGCCTGGAATCTGGCCATCGGAAATCTCTAGGTGGGTTTGTGATCTGCCCTTATAAGCTATCTGTCGAATAGACAGCCCCATGGCAGCCCATTCCCCAAGTGAGCAGCTCTAGGCAGACAGGTGGTTTTACCACCAGACAGTGGCAGGTCCAGTGTGTACTCACTCCCTGTCCTCTGCCCACCACCCAAACTCCATCAACTCTTGCTTCCCGATACCCAAAGGGTAGTCAGGGACCACATGATGGATGACCTGCGAGCCATTATAAATGCATGAAGTGACAAGCCATGTGCTTGCCTTTGCCCCCAGGAGTCCTGCTGAATCAACTGAGAAGGAATCTGCAGAGCAAGCACCATGAGTATCTCAGCTCTTGGAGGCAGCACCAAAGGTGAGACCTGGACTCCTTCTCCCAGGCCTGGTGTGTGGCCTGCCCTGCAAGGGCCACAAGCACTGAAGCAGAGTGAAAGCAGCATATTGGGAGGGCTGGAAGGGAGGTATCAGGGTCCTTGGAAGGGAGGTGTCAGTGTTCTTGGGCTGGGTTCCCCTTCTGAGGCTGCCTGGCCTTGCCCCTCTTCAGGGAAACTGCTACCAGGTGAGGAGGAACGCAATAATGTCCTCAAGCAGATGAAGGTTCGAACCACGCTGAAGGGGGACAAGAGCTGGATCACCAAGCAGGATGAATCCGAGGGCCACACCCTGTAAGTCCAGGAAGCTACTAGGCCAGCAACAATGAGGTGGGGTGGGGCTGTGATCCACAGAGGCCCTTCGATACCTGGGGATGTTGAGGGACTTCCACCACTCAGACTTCAGCCAGGACATGTGGCCACAGGCCAGCTGGGGAGGGCGAAGCACGGGAAAGCAATCCAGCTGAGGGCAAGATTCAACCAAAGTTACAGAGTGGGAAAGCCCTTGATGCTGAATGGGCATGTACATACTTGCCTGTGGAACGTGGAGGCAGGCCAGGGAAGGAGGAAGTGAGATGGAAATGGTGAGCCATGTTCTTGGGTGCATGCGCTGCACCCCACATCACCTGCTTTGGGGCTCAGCAGGCAACCTCTAGAATGGAGGCTGCAAGGTGGCTGACAGCAGGGAGCCACTCTTTCAGGATCCCTTTTTCTCCAGAGAGCTGCCTCCTGGTCGGAGTCGAGCCACATCCTTTTCATCAGCTGGGGAAGTCCCGAAGACCAGGTAAGAGGTGATGCCTGATGGCCGGTGGGTGGGCATCATGCCACAGTCTTCAGGGGATAAGGAGGAGCCCAAACTCATAATAGATGTCAGGATCTGCAGTGAATCATTTCAAATCCACAGGAGAGACAGGTTTTTCTGTTCTGCTCCCTCTTGGGAAAGGGAGTGCGGGTATCACTGGTGTCAGGTCCCTGGCCTTGCTGTGTGACCTTGAGGCTGCCTACCTAATGGGCCTCCATGGTTCCAGCTGCTTACGGGGCATTGAGAAGTCTCTGTAGGGAGTGAGAAAACATTTCTGAGGTGGTTTACACAGCTTTGAGAGTCACACGTGACTCTCCCATAGAGTTGTGATTGCTGAGTGAGCACACTGAGGAATCAGTGTGTCAGAAGAGATGGACACATTTGTTCCAATGGTCTCCCAAGTTCAGGATGACATATTTTGGCAGCTGACCAAAGGGAACAACCCACCCCCTTCGTATTTTGAAGACTTTTGTCTATTGGTGTCGTGGACACCAATATTGGTGTCTATTGCTCTGAAGCACTGCCAAGTCAGTGAGTGGTGGGAATGCAAACCTCAGGCTTGAGTCTTGCTACACAGGTGGCAGTTGGCAGTGAAGGCAGTGCCAGGGCCTTTCTCAGGTGGTGATAGAGGCAGTGGCAGCAGCTGGAAGGGAGGGATCCAAGTTCACTGCTAAGTCTCCAGGGCTACCCCTGACAACTATGGACTTGCCCATCGCCACCCCTCCCTAACTCGGCACCCACTACCAGCCAGGTCCTGTGTGTGCTCTCTCCTCATGGAACTGATATCTTAGCAGGGAATATAGGCATGAACCAAACAGAGAGATGGACATAAAATAGAGAATTATGGATTGTGATTATTGCAGTTGGCAAATTTGGTGAAGGCCTGAGGATGGTTTAAAGATAGTCTACTCACTAGGGGGATAGTTTACTTTGGGTGGTGTGGTTCTCACCCTGGGCTTCTGTTTGGGGCTATGTTTAGAAAGCACATCCTGGGGCATTGTGACTCAGGGCCTAGAGCAGGGATACCCGGAAGTTTACATAAACCTTGGCTCTCCTCCTTTTTTGAAGAATGGAGTGGATCCAAGGGGCAGCCAGGGACCATGACTTAGCCTCCCCAAGCCAAAAATGTTTGTGTGGCTATATGGGGGGAAGTGGCCTTTCTTTCTCAGGTCCCATCCCAAGTGTGCTTGCAACTTTAAGGACAGGGTCTGCCATAATGGAGAACACTGTGGCTCTGCACTGCCCTTCCCACCAGCTTGCATGGGGCTCCCTTAGACCACTTCCCTCTCCTTCTCCAGTCCTAAGCTGCTCTCTTCCTAGACAGAAATACCATTTGCTGAATCCTTGTCTCCTGCCCCTGCACCCCAAACTCGCAGCTCTTTGCTGCATGCCACTACTGGTCCTCTGAGCCCCCTAAATTGCTCCCAAGCAGGAGACACCCAGCATGTGCAGTCTGTTTTCCAGCTATGCCCTCTACTCCCAAACTTTTATCAAGACTGTGATGTGGGCATCTCAGGAGCTGGAGGAGAGAGGTCCCGAAGAGCAGGAAAGGTGGGGGAGCTGCCTTTGGTTCTATCCTTTGGTCCCTCATGAGCCTCCCTACAGGAGGCGGTGTGGTCAGGTCCAGGACTCTGGGCTCTCCCTGCCATGCCTCAACCCCAGGCCTCTGACCATGCAGTCTCCAGTTGTGAGAATAGAGGGTGGGAGTGTTGTCAGAAATCCCAGAAGACTTCTTGTTCAGGGGAGTTCTGGGGCCTGGAAGGCCAGGGAAAAGCTTGAGTTTGGAAGAGAACCCTCTGTAACAAATGCTCAGCCATGGAACACACCTTCCTGGGCACTTCCTGTGAGCCAGGGCCATCCTGGGCTGGTCCTGGTACTTTTCCTGGGGAGCATGAGAGAGCAGAACAGGAAGCCTGGCTTTGGGTGAAGGGGTGGCTGGCTCTCTTGGGAACTGTCCAACCACTCTTGTTCCCCTCATTCTGACCATATTGAGGCACCCACCAGCCAATCCACTTTGTTGGCATTGGGTGTGGAAGAAAGTAGGGCATCTTCACTTCACCTCATACCTTCTTTTCCCTTGGCAGGCCTCCAAGCACAAAGGCTCCCACTGGCTATATCATCCGGTAGGTGACCACAGGACCTTACCTGCCTCTCCATGCCTGCCCACACTGCTCCCTGGCTTCTCACAGGGTAGCTCACGGGGCTACTTCTTCTGGGGTCTCTTACAGGGGAGTGTTCACCAAACCCATAGACAGCTCATGTCAGCCACATCGGCAGTTCCCCAAGGCCAACGGAGCTCCAAAAAGGTTTGTGTCCTCGGGATGAGGGCCTAGGCCAAGCACCAGGTGTGAGGGCCTAGGCTGGGCTCATGGCAGAGAGATTACTCTGTCTGTTCCTGGGTGGGGAGGCGTGGTGGATGGCAGTTCTCCTCCTGTGTAGGGCAGGGCCCTGGAGAGTAGTGCTGGGACACAAAGCCCCAAGTGGATGTATGACCCAGATCGGGCAGTCTGGTTTCCCAGCAGCCAGGCCTCTGGGAGACCTTGGGCCACTACCCGGCTGGCCCCAATCATCGGGGCAGAGACACAGGGAGGAGTCTGGGGTTCACAGCCTTGACTTGCTGTCTGACTGCACTGAGCTGTGTGTTTTACTTTACCTTCTTCTTAGAAGGCTGAAGTGGCATGCCGTCAAAGTGCCTTGGTGTTAAGTGGAACCTGGGCTCCATCAGAAAGGCATGGTCCAGGGGTCTGGGTCAACCTATGGCAGGAGGGCTGCCCTGCTCAGGATGGCACAGATGATCTGGGTGTGTGGCAGGGCTGAGAGAAAAGAGGAAAGGCCACCAGCCATATTCCTACTGGGTTATGTGGACTAATTTGGAAGCAAGAAGGGGCCTGGGAGTGGGCACATGGAAACTCCTTTCCTTTCTAGTGCTGCTGGTCTGCTGAGAGCAGCTCCCACTGGGCCTCCTCGGCCCTCCTCCTCTGGCTATAAGATGACTACCGAGGATTACAAGAAGCTGTAAGTATACAATTGCAGACACAGTTCAGTTCCCTCCTTCAAGGACAAGCCCAAACAGCAGGCCTGCTGAGGGCAGCTGGTTGCTTGCATTTGAGCATGGCCCTGGAGTGCCAGCCTGACATTCCTACCAGTTGCCACTGTGACCTGGGGCACATTGCACTTCTGATCTGAGGCAAAGCAGGGGCTCTAAGAAGCTTATAGAAGGGGCCAGTGGGTCTGGAAGAAGGGTCATGAGCCATGGATCTGGGGTTGCTGCTGGATGACTCTGCTTTCTGGACATGCCTCTGCCCCGCTCTGGGGTGTAAGCCAGGCTGCTCTGGGGCCTGATGATTCTGAACATGCTGATAGCCCTGGCAGCCTATAAGTGATTGGTATTTTGTGCTGAAATCTGAACTGCTTCTTCAATATAAATCTTTGGGGCTCCCCTTCTGGCCCCTATCAAATAAGCCCCTCACTATGTGCCCAGGGAGGGGGTTTCTGGAAAGAGGTGTGCATTGAATCTGCAGTTCCCAGAGGCTCCACATCTTTATATTGCTTTATATCCCTGTCACAACCATCCAGTGACATGGAGCAGCTAGGAAATCTTTCTGGAGAAGGGGAGAGGCTTGAAATGGGTCTTGGAGGACAGTTAGGGTTGGAATAAGGGGAGAGGAAAGGAGTGGCTCTCAAGGAGGAAGAAGTGGCATGAGCAAAGGCTCAGGGGAAACAATGCCAACATGTGCTATTATTGTTGTAAGTCAGGAAGCCAAGCTACTGAGGGTGGCAGCCTGTGATAGGAAGCAGGGGAAGAGATGGGGGAGGAGGGGCCACAATCAATAGCATCCTCACACCCTCCCACCTCTCCCAGGGCACCCTACAATGTCAGGCGCAGCTCAGCATCAGGGGATGCAGAAGAGGAGGAGGTTCGCTTCTCATCTGATGAGCAGAAACGGAGGTAATGGTGCCCGCTGGGCATCCCACAGGCAGGGTAGAGGCCCAAGTTTCTGTCGCCTGGTGACATAAGAATTGTGCCAGTTGCAGTGACGAAATGTACAACCTATACAATATCAGTGCTGGCCTGTTTGCTGGAGGAGTGGCTTCCAGCAACAGGTGTCATTTATTGAGTCCCAGAACCACCCACTCAGGGCTGGGCCAGCTCAGAGGACCCTTTATGAACCTTTCATGGAGCAGAACATAGGTAATGAGGGTCTGGGGGAGGCTTCAACTGTGGGTGGACAGAGTATACAGAGGGAGGTGCTTTAGGACTTTATGTCAATTTGCTAAGAAGGGTCCTGGGCAAATTGGACCAAAATCAGCCATCCTTCTGGGAGGAGCCCTCTGTGTGTAGGCCACGTGTGCTGTGTGTATGCTGTGTATGCTGTGTATGCTGTATGCTGGGCTGGCCCTGCATACCTGGGTGGCAGGGCCATGCTCTGGAGGTATCAGTGCCCCTCACCCCAAAATGAGGCCTGGGCACTTGGGCAGCAGCTAGTCTCTGAGGAGGTCCCCTGGGCTGAGCCTGCCCCCAGTCCCAATGTCTTTGGGCCCTCTGTGCCTTAGGAAACAGCAAGTTCCTGTGCTAAAGGTCTGGCAGATGGGACAATCTTAAGGGTAGAATATACAATGGCAGTGGTCCCGGGCCTAGGAGGTATAGGGGAAGAGTCAGAAGCTCAGAGCCAGGCTGCTGAGCATTGACTGCCCACTCTGCCATCAGCTAGGTGTGTGGTCTCACACAAGTCACTAAAGTTTCCTGTGCCTCAGTTTCTTCATTTGTAAATTGTGGGTGATACTAGCACCTACTTTCCTAAGTTTTAAGGACTCAGTGAACCAGTATGGATTCATAGCATCCAGCACAGACAGGGCCAGGCCCATAATCTATGCTTGATAAATGTGGGCTGCCCTTCCCTTGGTCTGTATGTTTCCTTGCCTCCCTGATGTGGCCCTGAGCCATCCTGGGTAGCTGCTGGGCTATGCTGGCAGAGTGAATCCTGCCGTATGCCATTAGATACCTTCTCTCTGTGCCACCGCAGGTCAGAGGCTGCAAGCAGTGTGGTGAGGAAGACAGCTCCTCGGGAGCACTCCTATGTTCTGTCAGCAGCCAAGAAGAGCACCAGGTGAGTTACACAACAGGAGACACAGCAGGGCCTGGCTTCTGGGTAAGCTCAGCTGCCAGACCTTCTGGGATTCTCAAATGCTCTTTCTGGAAAACTGAGAGGTCTGGCTCCTGCCATCAGGGCTAATGAGGTACTGAGAGTGAGAAAGAGAGAGGCCCGGGACCCTATAAAGCAGAGTGGTCATGATGTCCGTTGGTCATGATGTCAGTTGTTCATGGGTTCTGTCCAACACATTGCCTTTCTGCTTCCTTTCCAGCAGCCCTGCCCAGGAGATGCAGGCCCCATTCATTGCAAAGAGGTAAATGTCCACAAGGGAAGCCTTACAAGCCTCTTGCTGGCTGCCGAGAAGGCCTCCTGCCAGCAGGAGTGGAGTATGGGCACCATGGAAAGCAGGTGCAGAGTGGGAAGGGGCCCCTGTCCCTGAGCAAGGGAAGTAGTGAGGGCCTTATGGCTTCTGTCTGGAGGCCAGATGAGCAACTAGGTGGGTATGGTGGCATTTGTGGCCTCAGCAGGCAGTTCTCTGTAGGCAGGATCTGGCTGACAAAACATAGCTTATGGCTGGAAACTTCCACTTGCTAACAGGGTTAGACCCCTGGCCCCCAATAGAGCCTTAGTATTTTCAAGGGCTTCTGGGGTTTTGAAGCAAAAGTAGCTACCAGGATGAAAAGGAGTCGTTCCCCTGCCCTCCCTCCCACCCTACCAGGGATGGGCTGGACAATGCCTCAGCAGGAGGGATTGTTGGGCTGGGGTCCAGAGGGTTTTCATTGGGAGTCTCTGCCTGCCCAGGCCCTTGGAAGTGACCATGATATTGGAGATGGGCCCTAAAGGGTGAACAGAATTCGACAGGAAATTATCAGGACATTAAGACACTCCAGTTGAGTGAGAAAGGAGTGTCCCCATCAGTTGAGACAGAATATCTTCTGGGAGAGAGTATTTGGGGAGTACAGAGAAGAGACTTCCAGAAAGTTGAATTTTAGGGATATTCCATGATGTAAACAAGGAAAGCATCTATGACAAGGTGGCATAGTGAGCTGAAGACTGGAATAAGTCAGGAAAGGGTGATGGCAGCACAAAGAAAATGACAGATAATGATGTGCTCTTACTGGCTGTATTAGGTTCCCAGGGTTGCTATAAGAAGGTACCACAAACTGGGTGGCATAGACCCGAGAAATGTACTGTCTCCCGGTTCTGGAGGCTATAAGTCCAAGATCAAGGTGTCAGCAGGATTGGTTCCTTCTGGAGGCTGTGAAAGAGAAACTGTCCCTGGCTTCTCTCCCAGCTTCTGGTGGTGGCAGTCAACCCTTGGCATTCCTTGGCTTGTAGACACATCACCCCAATCTCTGCCTCTATCATCCTATGACCTTTTGTCTGTGTGTCTGTGTCCAAATTTTCCTCATCTTATAAGGACACTGGTCATTGGATTTAGAGCTCACCCTACTCTGATCTTATGCTGACGACATCCGCCAACACCCTACTTCCAAAAAAGGTCACACTCACAGGTTCCAGGAAGACATGGATTTTGGAAGGACACTATTCAACCTGATGTGCTGTCCTTTATCCTAAACTGGAGTTGCTGAGCCTTCAGGCTGGGCCACCTCATGGCCATAGACAGCACTGAAGGAAATCACATCCTTCAAGAACAGCAAGCTCTAGGGCAGCTGAGTAAGGCCACAGGTGCCCTGGGAACAGGTGGTGCATCTGTTTCTCTTATTGCCCAAAGGATTGAGGTGGTGGATGAGGACAGGCCTTCTGAGAAGAGCCAGAACCCACCTGCTCTAGCAAGATCTTCTCCTGGCTCAAGCAGGTAATCAATTACTCATCTCTGCCTGGGGCTGGTGGCTGCCAGGCTTGCCTGCCACTGTTACTATGGAACCTCTGCTAGGTCATCTCCTTGCAGAGCCTCTGGGTCAATGGTCCCATGTGCCCAGTGTCAAGATGGGGCACAGAAATCAATAAGAGCTTTCTGGCTTGATGTCCTAGGGCTAAAAGAAGCAAAACAGCCTGGCCTCCAGAGAGAGAGAGTATATCACTCTTGTCTTTTTAATGCCTATCTGTGTCAACTTAACCCAGTGGTGGGCCCAGCATCCTAGGAAAAAGTACTAACCATAGGGTTTGAGAGGGGCTACCATCAGAGCACTAGCCCTGCCATTCTTGGGCTTGTTTATAGCTCTTCTGTAAGTCGTCCAAGTTCAACCTGCCAGCTATGTCCTCTGCCTCCTTCTGGGGAAGGAGGCTCTACAGTCCCCAGCCCTGCTCACAGCTACCTTCTTTGCCAGTGTGGATGGAGGCAGAGCCAAAGTGTCTCGGGCGATTTAGACTGAGCACATGCCAAGTCTGCCCAGCCCCACCAGGAGCTGGGAGCCTAGGTGGGTGCCATGAGCTGGCTCTGGTCTGTAAGCTGGTCAGATGGGATGGTTTGGGACTGGGATGACAGGGCAGAGCCAGGCTGAGTGCTGGTGATCTCACTACAGACGGGGCCCTGATTTGTTCTGATTTCTGAGCCCTGAGTATCCAGGCAAATAATGGTGCTCTCTTGTCTGCAAATGAAGAGCAATCAATACCTCCTTGTACTTTGCAGTGAACCAAGGTAAGTCCTGTTCAGAGCACCACTTCCCTGTTGTTGCTGCTGTTTAAAGCTCCTGCCTGGACTGGGAGCTTTGTCTAAATCCAAGTCTACTAAGTGTTATGCCTCCATGGCACCCTTGGAAGACCCTTAAGCCAGAGAGGCAGAGCACCTTTCTCTACAGGTCACTTTTAGGGGCCCCAGGGGCCATTCTCGTAATGCCACTGCAAGCCCCTACTTCCCTCCCCAGTTCAAGTTCCACAAAAATCTGTATGTGACCACAGTCCCTCAGGGCTACCTCCTCTGTGCTAGGAGGGAGATAGGGCCACCTGCCATAGCATAGACTGGTAGACAGCAAGGCTGCAGACCTTTTCTCATAGAGGGAGCTAGGAGTGTGAGGCCATCCTGGAGCCATGGCCCCAGCAGCAACACTGCCCCTCTTCTTCACTGCCTCCATGTCTTGATCCTCCCTGTTTGTCTGAACTTTTGTCCATGAGAACTTTTCTTTCTTTTTTATTTTTAAGTTTATTTATTTTGAGAGAGACAGAGGCAGCATGAGTGGGGGAGGGGCAGCGAGAGAGGGAGAGAGAGAATCCCAAACAGGCTCCGAGTTGTTAGCACACAGCCCGACACAGAGCTTTAACTCACAAAACCACAAAACCGTGAGATCACGACCTAAGCTGAAATCAAGAGTCAGATACTTAACTGACTGAGCCACCCAGGTGCACCTGTCACAATGATGGGGGATTGATGGGACATAGGGACTTAGTTTGCTAGGGCAGCTGTAACCCAGGACCACAAATGGGGAGACTCAAACAACTGAAATGTATTGTCTCACAGTTCTGGAGGCCAGAAGTCTGAGATCTAGTTGTCAGCAGGGTTGGTTCTTTCTGAGGGCTGGGAGGGAGGCCTCTCCTCGATTTATAGATGGACCCCTCTGTGTCTCCTCACATGCTCTTCCCTCTGTGTGTGTGTGTGTGTGTGTGTGTGTGTGTGTGTGTGTGTCTGTGTTCTAATCTCCTCTTCTTATAAGGACATCAGTCATTTTAGATTTGGAGCACACCCTACTTCAGTATAGCCTCATCTTAACTAATTCCATCTGCAGTGACCCTGTTTCCAAATAAAGCTCACAATCTGAGGTACCAGGGTTAGGACTGCAACATATGTATTTGAAAGGCATTTTAACTTATCCTTTGGATGTTTAATACCCATCATCTGCTGTCATAGCAAGGTGGGTGTAGTGGTTTGCTAAGGCAGCAGTAAGAAAGTACCCCAAACTGGTGATTCAAACAACAGAAATATACTGTCTCACAGTTGTGGAGGTCAGAATTCTGAGATCAGTCTTGCCTGTGAGGCCCCAGCAAACAGAACTGGTACCAGATTACAGAAAGTCCTAGATACCAGAGATGTTTCACAATGGGGCAGTCTCCAATGGGAAGGAAGGAGTTCTCATCAGAAGTGTGCAACAGGGCCTAGTCAAGGAAGCTTTATACTTAGTTTGATACTTCTCATAGTGCTTCTTCACTCAGATTGTGAAGTCACAAAATATCTGGAACCCCCCAGGCAGCTTCCAGGTAAGCTTATGGCTGGTCCTGAGTGGCCTTCCTTTCTGACCCCACTGTATCAGACAGGTCCTGCACTGCTCAGGTCAGGCAACCACCATCAGTTCCCCACACTCAGCTCCTCTCTGCCTGGTTATCTGAAAACTCCAGGTCAGGCTGTGCCCTTGAGGGAGTGTAGCCCTGTGGGGAGCAGTGACTCAACAAAACTGGGTGCTGTACCACTTCAGAAAAAGCTGGTTTATGCAGAATGAGGCAGGAAAACATCACAGCCTTGTCTCCAGGTATGGTCTTGATGAGGCTGCCTCCTCCCCACGTCTGCCCCTGCCGTATCCCCCTTGGCTCAAATCTCCTGTAAATTCCTCATCTCATCCAGCAGGCCAACCAAGAGAAAAGCCCTTGTCTTAGGTGCCAAACCCTTCAGGGACTTCAGGGAGGCCTGAAAGTTTGGAACAGAAAGAGTACACCACAAGAACACCCACAGGCTGTGTCCTCTGGGCTGCCCAGCTGTCATTTTCCTTCCATTAGATACCAGACCTGCCTGGCCTCTCAAAGGCCCCTCAGCTCCAAGTTCCCACATCTGAACTACGTGTCTCTACCGTCACTCCCACCCTCTGGTGGGCCTTCCCTCCATGTACCCCAGGACTTATTTTCTTTGGTTCATCTTATTTTTAACCCTCTCATTGTGGGACAACTCCTATATACCTTCTGGACTGAACTAATTCAAATACCCTCTTCCAGAGAGACTGGTCTGCACAAGGGCCTCCAGGCCTGGCTGCTGTCTCTGTTACAGCACTGGTCAAGCTTCCTTGGCTTTCTGCCTCATTCAACCACAGCGGGGCCAGCAGGCTGTGCCCCAGCATGCTGTCTGGCAGAGTAAGCTGGAGAGCACTGAGTAAAGGCACAGCTTTTGGCACAAGGCAAACCCTGGCAGTGCCCTGTACTGGCTTTGAGCAAGCCACTTTAACTTTCTGTACCTCCGTTTCCTCATGTATACAATAGTGAGTAGTGATACCTACCTCCTGAGGCTGCCCCCAAATACTAAATGGGATAATGCATATGAAGTCCTTGGCACAGTGCCTTGGTGCTCCCAGTTACAGGCTTGCTGATTTGCAGGGCCTTCTTCAAATGAAGAGACCAATATCGCCACTTTGCCAGCATCTGAGGGAAATGTGGTTGTGGGTGCGGGAGGAGGTACTCCCACAGACAGCTGGGGCCACACTGGAGGAGTGCTCCTGGTCTCAAATTGCTCTCAGACTGACAACTTAAGATTAGACTAGAGCCATCTGTGGTTGAAGGTCTGGTCAGAGAGTGGGGCTGGTGGGCTGCTGCAGAAGAGATGCTGGAGGGCCCCTGTATGAATTTGCTAGCGCTGCTGTCACAAGTTATCATAACTCATAGATAAAACAACAGAAACATATCCTCTCACAGCCCTGGAGGCCAGAAATCCTAAATAAAGATGTCAGCAGGGCTATATGTTCCCTCCAAACACTCTGCGGGAGAATTTGTTCCAGGCCTTTCTCTTAGCTTTTGGTATTGCTGGCAATTCTTGGCAACTCTCAGTTTGTAGATGTATCACTCCAGTCTCTGCCCCTCTCTTCACATGGCCATATTCCTTCTGTGTCTGTGTACAAATGTTCCCTTTTTATAAGGGCACCAGTCACATTGAATTAGGACCTACTCTCCTCCAGGAGTTTATCTTAAGTTTATTGCATCTGAAATTACCCTATTTCCCAATAAGGGCACATTCATAGATACTAGGGGTTAGGACTTCAGTATATCTTTTAAGGGGATACAGTGCAACCCATAATAGCCCCCCCCCCGAAGAGGTGCCATTTGAGCTGGGTCTTCAAGAAGGGATTGTTCAGTGGGATGACAAAAAAGGAGGAAGGCATTGAGGGAGAAGTGCCAGCTTTGGCAGGTTACGGTAACACTTTGTTCCTACTTCCTCTGCCACATAACAAGAAACACCAGTGGGGTCAGTTCTGGCTAGGTGTTTTATGCTGTCATCATTGCTATTGTAGGAGGAAACAAGCAGAGATCAGAGCTGCCCACATGCACCAGGTCCCCTGTCCCTGGAAGTCCTTCCATTTTCCCCCAGTTATCTCCAATGTGCTAGGTCTCAGCCAAATCCCAGAAGGAACATACATAGGCAGCCCAGTGACCCAGTCCTCTATGGCCTCCTAGTTTAGCTTGGAGCCGCATGTCAGGATCAACCCCAAGGTAACTTTCCAAGGAGAGCAGCCAAGTCACACCGGCTCACCCAAAATGAAGACTACCTACCTCTCTGTCTTCACCCTGGCCCCTCCTTCCCCATCATGGGACCCCAGAGGGGCCTTTCTAAAGTGCCAGTCTGATCATGTGAAGCTCTTTGTCCCCCACTTCAAGCCCATCCCATGGCTTCTCTTTGCCACACCAGATTTGGTTTCAGCATTTAAGACCCCTGCCAGCCTCCACCTCTTCCTCCCCTACCTCTCTCCAGCTGGCCCCCAGCAAGGCTACATCTCCATGAAGCTTCTCAGGTGCCCTTGGAGCTGGATTTGTACACAGCCTTACACTTTAGTAGAGCCAGGACCCATGGTACTTTGCCCCTATTTTGCCCCACCCCCCATACACACTAGACTTGGGGCTTCACCTGGCCTGGGGTTCATCCCCATCTATACCCTGGGCCCAACCCAGTGTCCAGAGGCAGCTGAAGAAAGGAAGGAGAGGCTGCAAGTGGGCTGGGTCTTAAAGGATGGCTTAGGCTTTACCTTGTGCACCTGGGGAGGTATGGTCTGGGGTGACCAGTACCCCCACAAAGCCAGAGAGCTCTAGATTGCCTCTGGCTCTGGTCATCACCGTGGCCCAAGCCTTCTGGGGATCAGGCCCTGCAATGGAACCAGACTTGGAGGGATGTATGTGGTCACCTGTGGGCCAGGTTCTGAGCACAGGAATCCTCAAAGGGGTCCTCTGAGTACTGAGAATGACTGATTCTCTGTGGGCTCCAGTTCACAGGCACCTGGTCACTTGTCTTCATCCCTCAAGTCTCTGATATCCTACTCCCACTGGCTGTCACTCCAAATTTGGTCTGTAGGTTTCCTTACTATATTGTTTCTCATCAGTCCCCATCAGCCCATATACCCAGAATTTTCACTGGCATCACAAATAGCTACTTTGGAATTTCCATGGGAACCACAGCCAAGGCTCACCTCTGCAAATGGGTGACATCATCATGGCAGCAGCTACAGACAGTGCATTGGGGCTGGACAGTCCCATTGCCATCCAGAATCCACTTGTTGTGGTTGAAGAGGGCTGGGCTCGAGGGTGGGAGACTGGTAAAGGGGTGTTTCATTCTCCTTCCTCTGCAACCTGGAAGTCAGTGGCCCAAGCTCAGCTGTAGCACCAAGAAAGCTAAAGGTCAAAGAGGAGACAAGAGAAAAAACAAATGGTTTGGAGTGTCCCACTGTATTACCCAGGAGGCTCCTGAAGGAGAATGCCCTTGGACCCCTGGCACAGATGGAAAAGGGGGAGGCTTTTCTTACCAGCAAGTCCCTGGCTCTCTTTCTTGGCTGCAGTACAAGAGATGAGGAGGCTGTCCACCTGCAGATCATGACACCTGGGGCAGGACTCCGCCTGATGACCCCAGACCTGGAAGGAATGAGGTATGGGGGCCCTGTTGGGCTCCTTTCACACCATTTTAGAGATGGGATCAGCAGGAAGGGGTGCAAATGATCAGGCCCAGGGACTGGTTGGTAAAAGACGTGGTCAACCTGGGTTCTTTGCCTCCATGTCATTCGTTCACCCCACACCTCTTTAGGAGCAAGCACTTGGTTCATGTGAGGCCAGACCTGGCCCCGGGGACCCAGTGGTGACTGCCCCCTGGCCAGAGATGCTGACCATCTGGTAGGGGAGGCAGACGCAGACACCAGCAAGCTGTGAGGGCGTGGCCCCGCCACGCGCTGAGGACAGGACAGGACGGCCGTGCTGGGTGGGGACGCGGGCTCTGCAGAGCCCCCCGAAGCCACTGGGGCCGTCCCTCTCCTTGTGCGAGGGGACCACTGGGAACAGGGTAGCGTCACCAGGTCAGCCTTGACAGCTCATGATGCCACCACACTTGGTGCTGGGAGGGTGAGAGACAGGAGGACTACAACCAGCAAGGAGCACAGAGGGCCCAGCCCCTGCCTCAAAATAGGAGGCCGAGAGCCATGCAACAGGCCGGCAGGATGGGGGGCCGATTGCTAGGAGCTGGGCTCCAGGGAAGCTGGGGTGGGGGCAAGGGGAGATCTAGCAGGGAGGGACCACTTCTCTTTGGAGGGGCAAGTAGTGGGAGGGATCCTACAGCACTCTCTCTCCTACTCATTTAGCTATTCACTCAACTAACATTTACTGAGCACCTGTTGCACACCTGACTCCTGCGCCAGGACCTAGAAGGCAGCTATGAAGCAGCCAGACTGCGATTCTGCCACATGAATCCCAGAGTCTGGGGAGGGAGGCCAGAGTGTATTCCCACTGGGGTATTAGGAGCTCCAAGCAGGGGCCGCTCACCAGCCTCTCACCAGTGAGTTGGTTAGGGAAGGCTTCCTGGAGGCAGTGTCATCCAAGATGAGTCCTGCTGGATCTCTAGGTACCTTTACTCTCCTCTTTGGTGCCTCCTTCTCCACACCCCCACCCCAGTCAGGCACTGAGTCCTATCCATTCTATTTTAGAGATATTTCTTATTATTATTCTCCTATTGCCCCATCCCTAGACCCTCCACATCTCTACCTGGGTGAGATTTCTAAAAGGCAGAAGTAGTCATGCCAGCCCCCTGGGAAAACCCTGCAATGCCCCCCACCGTGATTGGGTTCTGCAGCCTGAACTCGCTACCCCTCATGTACCCTCCCTCCTTGGGCCCTCGGCTCCAGCCTCCCAGGTCTCCATATGGGGGCCTATGCACAGTTGTCTACTCATGGATCAATATTCGCCAAGAACTCTGTGTGCCTGGAGGGCAGGGGCTACAGCTAACTGTTCTCTACATTCCCTCTGGCCCAGAACAGAAATGTGGGAGTGTTTGTTTGCTGGAATGATTGAAGATCATCCAGTATGACAACGTCTTTAATAAGGCAACATTGGAAGCTGCTTCATTGATTTTCCTAAGGTGACCACTCTCTGGGAAACAGGGTCAAAGTAACCCCAAGAGATGCAGGAGGAAGCCAGGCTGCCTCCAGTGAACATCCCTGCTGTGTCTCCTGTCTCCAGAATCCGCAAGCTTTCTGTACTTTGTCTTGGAGAGGCAAAGCTACAACAACCCACTGAGATCCCATGGGGGTGGCCCTCCCCCACTTTCCAGCAGGAGAATCAATTTGGGGAAAGAATAAAGAGGGAAAGTTAGAATTAACCAAGCCCTGCCCTGCCTAAACAGCCTAGCAGGTATCCCCATGCATGATGCATATGCAATCACTATGTCTATTTTACAGATGAGGAAACTGAGACCCTGAATGGTCAAGTAACTTGCTCAAGGTTACACGGCCAAGAACAGGCAGATCTAGAACTCCCACCCAGGCTGCCCGACTCACATTCTGCACCTTCTGCTCCATAACTCACCACACTACTGAGGACCAGGGGGAAGTTACAAGGAGGGGTGACATAAATACTTAGTATTTTTAAATGAATATATAATGAGTTTACTTGTGGGCATCCAAATGCAAATTGCTGGGAGGCATTTGAGGGTTTGTATTGGGAGAAAGGTCAGGGTTCAAGAAAGTTACATGTTATATGCAGACAGATGAAAGCTGAAATAATGGGACTTAATGTCAGTGTTTACATGGGGTACAATATCAAGGGAATTGAGAGAGGGGCTAGCAGGCTGGGAACAGATCCCGGTGTGAAGGTGGCAGCTGCCTGGTCATCCCCCCGAGGGTAGCTTGGTGGCAGTCACTTCTAGCCACGCTGAGGGTGAGCTGACTGAGGGCCAGTTTGAAAGGCATTGGAGGTATGGGTCAGGAGCACAGAGAGGTGAGAACATGTGGAAGTCATTGGCTTGAGGGTAGCAGTTGATGTCATGGGAGCCAAGGAGGTGGGCAAGGCAGTGGAGCATGCAGATGGAAAGGAATGCTGAGAACACCAATATTAAGGGGCAGAAGAGGAGGAAAAGGTGAAGGAGACTGGGACGGTGTGGCAAGAGAGGTAGGAGATGGTGTCACAGTGATGACATATGAATTAGGGAAAGAGGGCAGGAGTGGCCCACTGGGTTAGTGGTCCTGAGTGGTGACAATGAAAGAGTGTCTCCATTGTGTCAGACACCATGAGGCTCCCTGATGACTTCAGAGAGAACAGAGGGAGGTTGAATTAGCATCTTAGGAGCAGTCTCAACACCATAGAAGATTATAGTCCAGAACTCTGAAATCAGACTGGGTTCAAATCCTAGCTCTTCCCCTTGTTACCTGGGGACCTTGGGGCAAGTTGCTTGGGCTCTTTGTGCTCCCATTTACTCATCTAGAAAGTATGCAGGGATAAATACACTGCCCATATTCTGGGGTTTATGTGGAGGGTTAATGCATGCAGAATCATGAGAATGGAGTCTGACCCTCAATCAACAGAAGCTATTACTAATGACATTTTGAGAATTGGCTAGTCCTGCAATATCAGCCTTTAAGCTCCTTGGAGACAGTTGGCATCTGGGGATAAGATAACTGCCTTCATCTGAGTGTAGCTGGATAGTTAACTTATGTTTCTTTCCTCCATAGGTCTTCCCTGGGCTTCAAAGACAAGGAGGACCCTAGCCCTAGAGAGGCCAAGAGAGACTTGGCTGCGGAGGAGGCCTGCAAGAGCCCCAGTCCAGACCCTGAAAGGTAACTCAGTGGAGGGACATAGAGCCCATGTGGCCCATGGTCTAAGGTCAACGGATGGAGCTGTGATCAGGACTGTCCAGTTCCCCACTGTGTTCCTGGTGCCTGGGGCAGTGCAGGTCCTCAGTGAATATCTTTTGAAAGAATAAATGAAGGAATACATGAGGTCTGGAGAGGGACAGGCCTGCCAAGATCCCTCACGAAGCCAGTTGCAGAGGAGAACAAAACTCCAGGCCATACCACCCCCATCCAGCCCTTGGCCCAACTTCACTGTGCCTTTGCCCCTCACTGAAAACAGTCCTACTGATGGCCAGGGGAAGCCAGCCTGCCAAATCAGCAGTTTGGGGAAGTCAGTGACCAAAGGATGCATTGGCCTCAACAGAGCATCTAGCATAGACTTCCAGGATGAACTGTGGATAAAGGGAAACATGGCAGGGGCTGGCAAGGATGGTAGGCAGAGCCAGTGGGGATGATGAGTCCAGAAGTGATGGTTGTTTCCAGCTATCCTATGACCATCTCATTGAGCTGTCCTTTAAGCCAGACCAAGGAGGCCTGGATGTGGTGAGCATTTCTTCAATGGGAAGCTGGTAACCAGTAATGGATAAGAGCTCACAGTCTGCCACCATTTTATGAGTTTGAGGTTCTGGACCCTCAATGGAGACTCAGTCATGGAAGTGAGGGAAGGGTACCTGGGATGTCTGGGGGAACTTGTTTCTGCCGTGGGCTCTATCATTTATTAGTGGCCCCAAGTGCCTTGCCCTTTGTTCTGTTAGCCATTGGCTTTCCCACATTGTGCCAGCCTCCTCCAAAGTTGCAATTTTGCTATATTTTTTGGCTCCACTTTCGCTCCCATTCCATCAGGTTTGGAAGAAAAGCAGAAATACTTGCTGATGTCCAGTTGGCTCTAGTTGGAGCAGTGTAGGGTGGCAACTGGGAGCCTGGGCTTCTAGTCCTTGAGGCCCGCTCTCTGGACATCTTAGTTATATTAGATCAAAACCTAATCAGAGTCAGCAAATGTTTCTCTTCCCATAACAGGTCAAGTGATGGTAATGTGGGATCCAGAGCTTCCCTGGAAGCTGAAGGCTTCCTTCCTGAAGGCTCGACTGAAGCAGACATTGACTCTGGGAGAGGAGGGTAAGCTGCCTGAAGGAGGCAGATGGCCCTAAGTTATTGATTTCTCGTGTCCCTGATGACAGGCCAGGGTCAAGCTGCCAAAACTGCTTGGGTTACTGGGGGCTGAGCACTGATCATTTCCCATAGTCCGGTCTACAGTTTGCTTCTCCAGTTGTTCCCAACACATCCTTTGTCCCTGTGCTTTCCACTTAAATCAGAATTGCCTATGCTTGAATCTTGCTCCTTCTCCTACCCTCTGCTACTGGCTCTCAAGATCCTCCAGAGCAGGTGCAAGGGGCCACTTACAGCTGGAGGATCAGCCCCTGCCTGGGCAGGCACCAGGAGGTAGGATGAATGTGTGGGGAATGAGTGAAGGGACAAACAAACAAATGATGGATGAATCTATGCCTTCTTTCTTCTTGGCTGAGCTCTGAGGACAAGCTAGAAGGAGGTCCTTCATCTCTGCTTTCTTCTTTTCCTTCCACAAGTCCCAAAGTTCCTTTTCCTCTCCCACCCACCTTCCCTGGCCAGTTATGCTCTGTGGTTCAGTGAGAGAAAAAGCAGTGGCCCCACTGAGAAGACAAGCATGTCTGGCTGAGCTCCAAGTTCCTGGATCTGGGTGGAGTCAGGGTCCACTTTCTCAGGTGATTCAGGGAGTGGCTCCAAAGGTCCCACCTGTCTCTGAGTGGCTCCAAACCAAGCATGAGTCATCCTTGGGGACAAAGGATAGGTATGCTGATGTTGGCCCAGATAGTTCAGCTCCAAGTTGTGCTAGCACCCTTATGGTTCAGAGCAGATGGACAAAGCCAGTGTCTGCAGAGAGCTGCAAGGGCATGCTGCCAGCCAGCACACTTGCCCTACCACTGTGCCTCAGCAGGTGCAAGGAAAGGCCATTGGGCTGGGGCGTTGGCTCTCCAAGCTGCCACTAGTGGGGAGGCCTGTCTGAAAGCCCAACACTTGCAGCCTGCCTCACTGTGTGCTGGCCAGCACAGCTGTGCAGACTAACTGTTGCTGTTGTATACCTCTGGTCCAGTATGACTGGGTCAAGATCTTGACTGCTCTGTCTTTCAATATTCATCCAGATCATTCTTCTTGCTTACATACCCTCCTAAAACAAAGTCTTTGCTCTGTGCTTTCAGTTTCTTTAAAATGAAGCCAAATATCAAATTAACTTGCAAATCACTCTGAAGAATCTTCTAGAATTTTATGACTTTTAACCTAGTTTACATTGTCTTACCTTTTCGTACTTTGACAATGATTTTTAAGAAACTTACCTTGATCATATTTCCAAGGAAAATGTTGTTTCTTTTTTTAAGATTTTATTTTTAACTAGTTTCTCCATCCAATGTGGGGCTTGAGTTTATAACCCTGGAATCAAGAGTTGCATGTTCTATCAACTGAGCCAGCCGCCAGGTGCCCTGCAAAATGTTTCTTATGCAAAAAAAAAAAAAAACAACCATTCCTTTTCCACTCATTTTTATGAGTTTAATAATTGAATTTAGTAATTATGGTTCCAAGTACAACTGAGATAAATGGATTTGGGAACAAACATGAGGAAGTCTTAGTGAGCATGTTACTCAAGCACAGGCTTTCATGGGCGATGAGGTGCTCTGTGAGCTGTGACTGTTCAGCATGCTGTGGGCATCAAGCTGCCTGATTTACAGACACAAAGAATGCAACCTACCCCCTTGGGAAGACTGGGTAAGACAGCACCCACTCACTCAATCTGTATCAAGATGATGGATACAGACGGAATACAAATGATGCTGCTTCTATAAATGGCCACAGGCACCAGTAATAATTACAAGAACAATTTAGTACATGTTAGGGCCCAGGCATTATTCTAAGTACTCGGCATTTATTAACCCATTTACTCTTCTCAGAAAACTTATGAGGCAGACACAATGATCATCCTCATTTCAGGTGATGTGTCTAAGGTCACACAGCTGAGAGGTAGCACAGTGCTGATTTGAACCCAGGCAATGTGCCTGCAGGGAGCATACACTTAACCACTAGGACACACTGGCCCAGTGTCAGGCAGCTGTGGGATCTAAGTGAATACTGTGCTCTTAGCATTTGTTCAAGCAGCCTTTCAGTTCTCATCATCTGTTGGGGATAGAAGCCATCTCTTTGGGATGGAGTAGATGTATAGACACAAAGTCCTGAACCGAGACCAGGCTTGGACTACTTCCACAGTGTGCTCAGCTGCCAGCGTCCCCCCTTTCCTGGATGATCAAGATGTGTGTGGTGACAACTACCAGCCTTGAAACCCCAGCGTGTATTCACAAGCACCCAAGCTGAGGTGGCAGAAGGGATGGCACTGGGAGACAGAGCTTGGGAAGAGACCCTCCTATACGGACTGCAGCCCAATCCAGCAAGCAAGAGTCAGGGGGAGGAATGTCAGGGATGGCCAACTGGCACTAAGAGGCTCAGTTCCAGGGAGCACATGGAGGTGGCTGAGAAGGGCACATGGCTCTAGGGTGCTAAGGTGCAATGGAAGGGGTTGTGCATTCCCAGGCTGCAGGCTTCTGCCCTATTCCATCTACCAGTCCACCAGTAGGAGTGGCCAGTTTGCTGTGGGTGTGTGGAGCACAGTAAAGAACAGTCTTCCTGGACTCCCACACAGCCGTAAGAGGTATAGTATAGGTCAGGTAAGGATACTGGATCCCCAAACAAGGAGACTTCCCTAGGGACCCCTGAGCTAATCAGGGACAGTGCTTGATCTTGAACTCAGGTGCTAAGTTCACAGCCAAGACTCACAAGATGTTATCACACAGAGTGGCATTTGTGCAACACTAACAGCAGATGGAGGTTCCCCTTTCCTGTGAGAAGGCAGCTGGCAAGGGCCCCCAGTCTCCACTGCTCTAAGGCCTCAGTGGGCCTGTGTGCTTCCTCCCTCAGCTCCAGCACTACTTTGCCATCTGCTGGACCAGTTGACCAGAAGAGTGACAGTCCAACAGACCTGGAGGACAAGGAGGCACACCTGAAGGGGTAAGACATCAGGGAACAGTGCTGAGCTTCTGAGGTGGAGAGAGGCAGCCCAGGTATGCATGGGCCTCTGGCCTAAAAGGTGAGGCCAGTAAGGCCTATGAGCTGGTCCAAAGCATGTGGCAAGAAGTGAAGCCGCAGCTAGAATCCTCTGGTCTCTGGCTCTGAGGCCAGAAAGTCTTCCACTACACCCTGCTGCCTCCAGCCAGGAATTCTTCCATAATTAGGAAGTCACCCAGTCTTTTTTTTTTTTTTTTAGTGTTTATTTTTGAGAGGAAGAGACAGTGTGAGCAGGGGAGGGGCAGAGAGAGGAGTCAGAGAATCACAAGCAGGGTCTGCAATGTAAGCAGAGAGCCCGGATGTGGGGCTTGATCCTATGAACTGTGAGATCATGACCTGAGCCAAAATCAAAATTTGGATGCTTAACCAACTGAGCAACACAGGTGCCCCAGGAAGTCACCCACTCTTTCAGCCAGCAATCACTCGAATGGCACCTGCCCTGTGCTGGAGGCTGGAGCACACAGACATGGCTGATGGGAGGTAAAGCCCAGCCCAGACTGGAACAGTAAATTATGCTGGAGCAGGGGAATGCGGGACCCAGGACAAATTTGTGGGGGAGGTGGCTTTTGAGCCAAATCTTGAAAGGTGAATAGGGGCCCTTCAAGCAAAGAGAACAGGATATGCAAAAGACTCCAAACAACCTGGTATCTCCTGGACACTGTATGCAGTTGAGTGTGGTTAGTACTGAGCGTCCTTGTGGAGGAGTGGTGGAATAGAAGGCCTGTTGAGGTATAAAAGGGCGGATTCTGTAATACCAGATATTGTTAATGACCATAATAGGTACTTAACTTTGGGTCACCTACTGTGTGCACAATGCTCTAGTCACTGTGTCTCATACAGTGCTCCCCACAATCCTGAGAGGTTTGCATCCAATAGGAATGAAGAATAAAGGTGTAGAACCTAAGTCTCTGTGCCTCCTGGGAAGAACAGTGCTCTGAAAGAAATAGCCAAGGTGCTAAGATAGAGTGGTGGCAGTGAGGACAGCTAATACATGGGACAACTCAGGCAAGCCTGTAGTGAGAAGGAACCAATTCTAGAAAAGAGAAAAGAGCTGCCGACCTAAAAACCCTGAAGTGGGAACACACTATCATGTTCCAAAGCATAGAGTGGCTAGAGCCTAACCAGTGACAGGGACCACTGATGGAGCAGGCAAGCTTTGAGGTATGTGGCCCTACTAGGTGACTTTTTGTTTTCAGATTGCACTGACAGTTAACACAGTGAAAACAATAACTGACACCTATAGTGTGCTCTGCTGGATGCTTTACGATCTTTCCAGCAACTCTGTGAAATGAGTAAGATGGGGAAACTGAAGCACAGAAAGGTTAAGTGACTTGTTCAAGGGTTTACAAGTAGTAAAACTGAGTCCCAACGAATAGCCTCTAAAAACAAAACAAAAACAAAACAAAACAAAACTTCATGAAAAACTCTAAAAATCTAGTTTATGAAGTCTGTTGTTTGGAGCCTATTCTCAAGATCCAGAACCAGTAATTCTCAGCTCGTTAATGTGTAAAGCACTCTGTCTGCATGATCTCATCTAATATTCCCTGAACCTGGGGCAGTATCTAGCTTCTTATTATGCAATAGAGCAGTGGAGAAAACTCTGACTGCACTTTAGAATCAACAGGAAAATATTTTAAAAACAAAAAAGCTTCCTGAGCTCTATGCAGAGACTTAGATTTAATTGTTGTGGGTGGCTTACGCCATCAATGTTTTTTTTTTCTAAAACCCCTAGTTTATTTTCACGTGCAGTCTAAGTTGAGAATCATTGTTCTAGGGTAGTGATTCTGAATCAGGGGCAGCTTCCCCACCTCCTGAACCCCTAGGGATCACTTGGTAATAGCTGGAGACACTATTTATTGTCACAACGGGGAGAAGGGTGCTACTGGCAAATAATGGATGGAGACCAAGGATGCTACTCAACGTTCTACAATATACAGACCAGCATCCACCATAGAGTAATCCAGTCTAAAATGTCAGTAATGACGAGGCTGACAAACCGTGCTCTGGAGCCTTCACGATGTCTGTGGAAAACTAGCAGGTTGAGATCTCAGCACTCCTCCAGGAATCTGGGCAGCGGGGACACAACTAGTCCGGTTTCGCGCGTGCGCGCCTGATTGGCGCGAGCCTGTGCGCCTGCGCCTAGTGGAGCGCTACACCATCTTCTGTGCGCCTGCGCGCTGAAGTCGGTGTGCGCCTGCGCGCACCGCCATTTCCTGCAGCTGAGAGCTTGGGTCGCAGTACCCATCGGGAAATGTGAGTGTCCACAGAGTGAAATGGCTGCCCTGGGCAAGAACGGCCTCAGTGTAGCATTTCCTGCTGCCGTGCTAGTTCCGGCCGCTAGATGGTGCGCGAGGATCAAAAATGGGCTGGGCCGGCCGTCTCCCTGCCCCCCACGTCCTCCTCCCTCCCGCCCCCCCCCCCCCCCCCCCCCCCCCCCCCCCCCCCCCCCCCCGCATCCTGGCTCTCGCTGCCCTTGCCCCGCTGGTCCGGTGGTCTCTGGTAGTGCCACTGACCTTTGTGTTGAAGCAGCCCCTCTGACCACCCGTGGACCATGGCCACAGTCCTGGCGGAGGCGGGAGAGAGGGAGTGAGCTGGGTGCTCGTAAAGAGCTGAAAGGGGCTCCTGTGGTCCCCACCTGTTTGGCAGGGTGCCCTGGCCTCTCGGTCGTTTCTGGCCACTGGCCACTGATCTTCAGAGCTGCCCAGTGGCAGGGGCTGTGGATATACGGGGAAGGCAGCGGATCCTCCACCCATGAGGGACCTCCTGGGCATATCTGCCTGGGCAGGGCCCTGGGGCCCTGTGGAGAGGCAGCTTAATTCCCAAGAGTTGGGTGAGGAAGGATGATGGGAGTGGGCAAGGCGATCCTGCAGAGTAGTAAAACTCCCAAAGTTGAGGAACTCTTCCCTAGTCTAACTTTGTCTTGCTTCATCACATGTACAGGAAGAGTTGGTATGGTATGGTAATCAAGAGCATGTATTCCTGTGCACGGGCTTACATTTAAGCTCTGTCACTTACTTGCTATATGACCTTGGGTATCATTTTCATCTCTTCTAACCGAGTCCAAGCTCTTTTTGCTCACTGCAGGACAAACCAGTAAGTGGAAAGGCAAGACATTGCAGTAAGGAAAGCGAGTTTATCCAGAAAGCCAGCAAACCAAGGAAATGGCTTACTGTTGTCCTAAGGAACTACCTCCCCTTGGCATGAAATTCGAGCTTTATAAAAGAAGCAAAAGAAATTTAGCAAAAGGAGAAAGCAGGAGGTGGTGGAGTTAAAAGGTGACTGACATCTGCAGACATCCCAGGAAGGTTGTGTAACTTTTCTGTCCTTGGTCAGTTTATCTTTGTTTACAGGAATCTGGTCATGTTGTTCCCGTAAACCTTAAACATAGCATACTCATTTCTGTTCATACTTCCTTATCTCCATGGGTGAGGAGTGGTTTTTGCAAATCTTAGCTGTAGCATGCCTACCTGCAGGTCTAAGCAGAAGTTTCTAAGCTATAGGTCACAGTAGCAAGGGAAATAGAAGCAGTATAGTCAGATATGCTAAGTTTCTTCCTCTTCCACTCTGTGTTTGTATTTCCTTACATGTAGAACAGTGGTAATAATAGTTCATATCACACAGGGTTGTTCTGAGGGTCAAGTGAGTTTGTATAAAGCATGTAGAGCATTCCCTAGCACAAAGTATTATGTCAAATTCTCCTTTTATAAAAGACTTCAAGCTAAATAAAGTGTCCCCAGAGGAATACCTCCTTCCACCTCAAAAACACTGGGAAAACTGGCCTCTGCTTCCTTTTACCAGCTTTATTGGCCTGATTTCATGCAATAAGACACAGAGTAGTTCATCTTCTCTCCAACAAACTTTTGTTATTAGACTTTACATGTAAAACAGGCTGTTTTCCTCTTTGTTATGTTGCAAGTCTTGGCTTTTCAGGTTTATGTTCTTTCTCCATGATGAACAGGGAACTTTAATCACATGTATTCACTGTGAAGAATCATGGTCAACCAGCAGAGGAGTCTTTTGAGGGAAGTGTTAGAGTATAAGGGGTTGTTATTTTCCATGTGGAGAGTGTGATTGTGTCAAGAATTGGCAGTAGCTGTATTAGGCTACTGGATCTTTCATCTAGTTAGAGGCAGAAGTATTACTTGACCTATCTCTAAGCACTTGACTACAGGCAGTTCATTAGGGGCATGGGAGACCTCTGGGATATTACATGGCTCAGCAAGACTGCCTGTGACTGTTATACTAAGATTTACTCTTTATAGGTCAGATGGATTACACTTCCTATAATTGTAGTGGCTTTGCTCTGAGGCCTAGGGCAAAGGAGCCTTATTTTCCCACTTGCCCCTATGTTGCAGTAGACCTCCAAATTACTCTTTGCAGAGAATCTTGACTTGATTCACAAACTTGATGAGGATAGGATAAAATATAGGATATGGGACAAGACTCTGATTAAGTCCATGGCAAAGCTAGCTCCAGGCTTAAGGAGGCAGGAAACAAGGTCTTTGGCTTTCTACATTTGTCTTTGGCTCAAACATGTATGTCACAGGTAGGGGTGTGGTGAGTGTGTCAGGATATCTTGCTGGCTAAGGGACTGGCATTATCTGGCTGGGCTGCAGCAGACAATCAGGGTAAAGGCAGCACAGGAGGCACAACACCCACTTGTGTGCAGGTCTGCCTGGGCAGCTGGAAGTGGTAATAAGTTTATTGTCTCTGCTGGGGTATTTTTCCTGTCACCTGAAGCTGAAGAGTCGCATTGCTTTCACAGCACACTCTCCAGAAAGTATGGCCACAGGAGGTGACATCAGCATGCAGTGGGTAAAGAAGGACTGGTCCCAAAGTCTCATTCCATAAAGGTGCTCACTCTTCTTCAGCACCTTGCCTGGTTCTGAAAAAAAGAATGTGGCTGCCAAGATGGGAGGAACCTGGCAGGAGAGGCCCACAGT